ATAGACATATACATATGCATATACATATACATACATATAAATACATACACATACATACACCTACATATACACATACATATGCGTATACATATGTTCACATACATACATACATATACATACATATACATCCATATGAATACATATACATGCATGCCTGCATGCATGCATACATAACTCCTCAATACATTCCTCCGCATACATCTGTACATAGGTGCGAAATCGTACATACACGCGCATACGTAAAGCTGAGACTTAACCAAACGTACCGCTCTGAATCCAAGGTTGGACTCCATACCAGGGCCCTGGCCAGGGGTTTAGGACTAAAAGGGGTACCACTTTACAGCTAGTCCTAAATTGTACAGAACCCTGCGCGCTCAATACATAGAGGTACTTGTCTACTTGTCCGATTCCTACGACAACTAAAGTCCAAGCTTTGGGGTCATATGAACATAGTGCTACGTGCAAGGACAAGACGGTTTGGGGATGCGCTATAGTATAAATGTACTACAGAGATTTAACGAAGGATATTGCAGATGTAGTCTTGTTAACTATCCGGGCTTCCAAACTAGACCCTGAACCCCCTGAACGCGACTTCTGGTGGAACGACGGAGTCCCTATGTGAGCTTGCCTTCGGAGCTCATTCAGAAAGCAAAAAGTACAGAGTTTGATTCAAGGGGCCGTGGGCCTCTAATTGCTGTTTTAAGTTTATAAAACATAAACCTTGGACCGAAAAGCTCATATAGGAACCTGATTGAGCAAGCTTGGGTCATTGCTAGGGCTACTAACTAGGGTTCGTTTATATGGACCATCCTATAATTATAAGGCGTCTTTGGGGGCTGTCTGGGGGTGCAGGGGTTCCAGAGTTCATGCGCTCGAAAGATAGTTTTGCAATGTGTTTCGAATTTGCTGTTGGATTGAAGGCATTTGGTTCACAGTTTATGGGGTTTGGGGTCTATGCCTCGGCCTATGGGCTCGGCTCTTATGGGTTTGGGATGGTTTTGTTCTGGAATCTCGGGGTTTCGGGTCGAGGGGCCTAGTGTCTAGACTAAACCTCCAACCCCCAAAACCCAGTATAATAAACCCCAAGAAATTGGAAGCCGGATGAAGGACAAATAGGGCTGGGATTCCTGAAACATTACTCTTAAGGATTGAAGCTATTGGGTTTCCAACTTTTGGGCTTCTACTGTAAACTGCAAACCCGAAATCCACAAGCGAACGCCCTAGGTGCTGGAATCCTAGCTAGACGACCTCTGGGCCTTGATTCGGGGATTCGGTTCACCGTAAGAGTAAGTCAGTTTCCTTCCTGGTGGGGAGTACTGTATAAGGGGATACCATTTACAGGGGCTCTATTGGCTCTATGAAGAAAGGGGATACCATTATGGCTTTATAGGGCTATCTAAGGGATCTCATCAATGTAGGCACAAGGTCTACGTTCTTATAATACCCTGAGGCCCAACTCCTACAGGCCTGCTGTGGGAAACTCTCCCCTTTTAGGTTCCAAGTGGCTCCGCATGGCCGCATTGTAGAGTTGGAGAAGCCCACGTCCGAAAAACATCCTAAGCTGAGATCGCGGTTTGGGCGGGTGGTTTACATGGGGTGTAGGATTGGAGGAGAAAGCCAACGACGATGACGGGGACTTCTGTTTCCTCCACCCTAAGCGCGAATGAAACCCTACACCCCTAAACCCTAAACCCTCTCGTATACATGAACCCTATCATTCATCTCATCAAATATTAAAGAGATATGCTACCAGTAGCAAAGACCTAAACGTTAAGCATAAAGCAAAGCGGCCCGGTGAGCATCACATCGAAGACACACTGCGAGATCTCAACTTTCCGGAACTCTGCTGCTGAAAGCTTGTTCCTGCTTGACTAGTGGAGTTAGGGCGGTGGGTTCAGGGTTCAGAGCCGTTCTTTGCTGCTTGACTTCTGGGGCTTCTAGCACTATGAACCCCCCAAACCTAGTCTTATTGTATAGGGGGTTCTCTTTTCCCTAAACCCTAAACCCTAAACCCTAAACCCCAAACCCCAAACCCTAAACCCCAAACCCCAAACCCTAAACCCCAAACCCCAAACCCTAAACCCCTAACCCTAAATTGACCCTTAGGGTTCCCTAAACCCTGCCTGGACCCTAAGGAACCTCCCTTTCTAGGGTTCCTGATGATGATTTCTATATATACGCCCTTAAAAAACCGTAGGTCATTTGCGGTTAAGGTTCTTTAAAATAAGTCCTTATAAAAGGTAGGTTGTTCGGGGTCAAGGTTCTTTAAACTAGGTCCTTAAAAAGGATAGCTTATTTGAGGTTAAGGTAAACCCTACTATGGTTATGGTATGCTTCGCCCCGGCCCCACAACCCATTTCTGACTGGTCGTCTTCCTACGTGTTCCTGAAAGTAACATAGGGGCCCTCATAATTAGAATAAGGTTTGGGGGGTATATTATACTATGTTTACAAAAAGGAACCCCAAAAGCCCTATATTAACAGTTATTGAGGCCCCTACATTAGTTATAGTCCAGTTCGCCCTGGTTCAGGATTCAGGTTCTGTGAAGCTTGGCGTGTGTTTAGGATCCCGATGTTGCAGATTTGGGAGTTTCCGAAAATAGGGGACCCTAATATAGTACCGAAAAATAATAGGATCCTTCTTGTAAGGACCCCCAAATAAGGTACCNNAATTTTCGGAAACTCCCATTTAGGGGCTTCGGATTGCAGGGTTAGGGTGCGGAGCTGGAGCTTCTGTTTAGTCGAGGGTTTGGGGCGGAATTAGGGTTTAGGGTGTAGACTCGGATCTTCGGGTACCCTAAACCTGAAGACCCCCTCGAATCTCAACCCTAATGTCTGAACCCCATGCATAGAACCTGTCTAGAAACCGTATACACAGACCCTTTTGAGAACTCTTGCATGACCTCAGAAGCCGTAAAGGAACCCTTACAGGAGACCTGAAAGGGGCACTAACGATCCCTTATATAAGAAAAAAAACGCGTGTCCGGATCTCTTGGAGCATGTTTCCAGCAAGATATCTCTGCGTCGGCGGCGCCGGAAGTGTGGCCGTCTTGTGCTCAAGGCCTGGGGAGCTTTGAGCTGTCTGCTTTGAGCACCGGGTTCAGCCCTTCGGGGGTTTAGGGTTTAGG